AACTTCAAGCAGCTCTGGAGCAAGCGCTTGAGCAAAGGAATGAGATCATCAACCAGGACTCTGACAGTGAGTCAGATGAAGGTGAGTAAGTGACGGGTCACCATCTAACAGGCAGATGTTCTCCTGGTTAATTGGAGCAACAGGCTGGTCTGTACTCAGTTTGACTGTCTCGGAAACTCGCTGGGAGATGACATCTTTTCTTCAGACTTTCTCACGCGGTTTGTCATAGAGGCTTGACGTAGAGATGGGATTTTGAAGGTAGTGGAGGTGAAGTGTGCAGGATGAGCTGCCAAGTTAGGATTATGTCACACATTGACGATTAAACTCGTATTGAGTTCTCTAGTTTTGACAAAGTCCCAAGCTACACACATTTCTTCCTTCATAAATTGTTAAAACTTTGAAGCCTGAAATCTCCTGGTTTGTGTTTTACTCTGCAGGTATATAATTATTCTTAGTAATCAATTCTGGATTCATTGCAAGCTCGGTTCAACAATTGTTGGAAATTTCTCAATAATCCAAGTGTCTTGGTTGATTACAAGTACACAGCTGCTGCTGAATATTTTAAAGTAATCATTTCTCTTGAAATCTCCATGTTTCCCTCAACCAGATTTGTTTTTATTTATGCGAGATCAACCTAAATTTCCTTCTCACACCTACAAACAAGTTTTTAAAAGCACAATCTTTAAAGAGAAACCTATAACAGAGTATTTAGTCCAACTACTATTTAACACCGATGTACAATTTCTATAACTTGTGTCAAATTAAATCAACACTTGAAGAAGTACACTCTGTCTGAATTAGTAAATACAGCTAGAGCAAAATGGGGAAAGCAATACTGATAAATCTTCTTTGTCAGAGCATCACATTGCCAACCGCTACGTTGGTGTTTTAATGTCCTACAGAAAAGTCAAGACCTGTCGCAGTGAAGGTATTATGACTGTTTCGTAACTTTACAAGCTTCGGGATGCCTTTCTGCAAGGTTACGTAACATCTGCTGCATGTCAGTCACAGTCAGTTGACTTTTCTCTGCAGTTCAAAGACGCTTGCTTATGTAACTTATATCCCTTTTAGGCAGACAACAAAGTTTCATTGGTCAAGTAACTATTAAGGGTTGCTAGGGACTGAGATCTTTAGCTCTAAAAAACAGTTATTTTAAAATGAAGCTCAAGCTCTTTCAGAGTCTACTCAGACTCTTCAGTTGCTTTAGATCTTCCCTTTTCACTCAACGTCCAGGGAACTTACCATGTTTCTTTGTGTTTTCCTGATATATGTAGAATATAACTCATTGAACAGCCTGGTGTCAGAGGCCTTCATCCGCTTCTTCCTGGAGACGATGGGACATTACTCCCTGTTTATCACTCAGAACGAACGTGGCGAGCGTGTTTTCCAAAGAGAGGCTTTTCGCAAGTCTGTGGCGTCCAAGAGCATCCGTCGCTTCCTGGGAGTCTTCATGGAGTCGCAGATGTTTGCTGGGTTCATTCAGGACCGGGAGCTAAGGAAAACACGGGCTAAAGGTGGGTTGCTGTCAAGTTCATGGAGCTGAGCACTTTTTTTCTTATTTCCTCTCTTGAACTTCCAGCAGTCCCTGGACCTCAGTAAGCATTGTACTGATACTGCCCTCTTGTGGAGGAATGTTTTTACCTACACGTAAAAACGTGAATTCGCTTCACTGAATTCTTCCTGGCAAACAAAGAGGTTGTAGCTTCCTGGAAGGTGTTGATGAGCCGTAACTTTTTTGTTTGTTTGTTTGGATTTCTGCTGTTAAAATGCCAGGGCTGTTTGAGCAGCGAGTGGATCAGTATCTGGAAGAGCTACCAGACACAGAGCAGAGCGGAGTCAACAAGTTCCTCAAAGGCCTTGGTGAGTTTTGCTTCAGACGTTCTGGACAAGACAAGTCTCAGATTTCAGGAGCCTGAAAGAAGCAACCTATCTGAGAAAAATATGTTAAAATTCACCAGAGAACACATTGACTTAGCTAGAGAGAAGTAGCACAAGAATTTATGGACTAATGAAAGGAAGGTGGTTCTGTTTCGGTCAAGATATCATAGACAGTTTGTCAAACAATTCCCAAATGCTGAATTCAACCCACAGCACACTGCAAAGCATGGCGGATGAGCCACCGTATGTCAATTGAGTCAGTGTTTCTCAATGGAATCAGGCCTAGGTGATGCATACCTGTGATCATATATGAGTTTAATTTCATAAAAAAGTATTTGATGAGGTCAAATGTCTTTGTGGTTATGAATGAATGCTCTTAAAATTGGTGTTTCAACAAGATTGTGACCACACACACCAGTAAGCAAGCATACAGTTTCTGACGACAAACTAAGAAATGTGGAATTGGGAAAAAAAAATATTCAGATAGTTTTGTTTCTTTGAACAATATAATATTTGTTCCTCATTTCCTATTGATTGATAACAAATGTGATGTTTGTCTTCATGTTTTAATTATAATATAATGGAATATAATGTCAGGTTTTCCCAATGCATTTGCAATATGTAATAATACCAAAAATATCTGTTAAGAGTACATGTGTGTACTAAACCTTTTTGTTCAGTACACACATGTACCTAATAAATCCAGCGTCTTTTTATAATAGAACAAATGCAGAGAGTTAATGTGTGGAACTAAGGGTGCAAAGCAATGTTTGGTTGGGCAGCTTTAAGAAGCGACACCAAACAGAGAGGATTCCCAGTGATCACTAAGCTCTGCTGTTAGTTATAAAAACAACTCCAAAGTGATTTAAATGTTTTATTCTCAAATATGGACAGTTACATTCATAAAAGGTTTCAACTTTAACATTCAATGTTTTCAAATAGTTGTATTGCTGTAAAATCTGCAGTATCTATTTGTTGTTGCTTACTTATGATATGCTTCGTTTAAATCTTAACCCAATTTTACTTTCCACTTTTTAAAGCTTTAGAACATAAAATCAAAATAATTTCAGAAATTGAAAAAGACGATTTGTTTACTACTGAATGAAGGAATTTTTTTTTTCTTAATATAAGCGTACTGAAAACCTGCCCGACTTTAAAACCTGAGTACCTACAGAACTGTGATTTTGCGTGACGCTCCACTACTAATCTGTATGTATGGAAATTAAACCTGTTAAAAAACTTAAGCTTAACTCACTTTTTAAACTTGCTGCTATTATTTGAGCACATCAGATTTTTTTCTTAGATTCTGCTCTACATGCTGTTAGTCATTTCTTTTGTTAAAAATAAACTTTTGCTTATTTTTTTTTTTTCTTACAAACATTTTTTTTTGCAACTCTGAACCTCCTAAATCTGTATTATTAGTGGAGAGTTTCAATTTAGATCTCCAAAGCTATGTTAGTTTTGAAAATGCATTTTAATTCATTTTATCTTTTTTCCCCCCCCCCTCCCAGGAAATAAAATGAAGTTTCTCCACAAAAAGAACTGAAGACCGGCACGTCTCGTCTCTGCTTCAAGATGATTCTCAGACATTTTGTACCCTTTTTTTTTATTATTAAAAAAGTAAATATATGTACATAATATTTCACTGTAAGCTGTGATACTCTTCAGTGTATGTTTATAGTTCCTATATGAGACAGCGATAGCAGGACGGTACACAGCGACTGAGTCGTAGAGTAACCACTGAGATCCGGGTGTGCATGTGAGGAGCGTTATCAGAGTGAGTGTGTGTTACTTGATACGGATGTAGATGTACAGTTCATGTGTTCTAACGCGTCATCGTTTTTGCATCATTATTTGGCCTCTGTTTAAGGAGTGTATTCGAAAACTGTACATGCATCAAGATAATGAAGACAGATTATTTTAACAGTCTTGTGCATCTTGTTATTAAATATAGTCATCCAAGTGCTTTAAATATATGAATGTGTCTTGAGCATTTCTTTGCTTGTCTATCTCACAAATTTTCATAATAACATAAGGGACATCTCAATGACATGCATTGTTTAAAGGTTCGCATTAGGAGGAGCTCGCAGGATCCCAAAAGGCGCCACAGTCGAGCACCAGCCACCACATGCAGCCGCTAACCTAATTATGTCTCTGCACATCAGTCCGGCTGCTGTCACTGCTGTGCTGTTATTAGTTCCCCTCACTGAGAGGCTGTCTGTGGGTGCCAGGTGCCATGTTACTGCCCCTCTGTCTGTGTCCTTTACCAGTAAGGAGCAATCTGATGTTTTGAATTAGGCTCCAGAACCACAAAAGCCACTTGAAGGAGTGTTTGAAGACAAAAGGTAAAGGCACACAACATTACGAGTTTTTTTTTTTTTTTTCTCAGATAGTCCTTGAATTTATGTGAAGTGCTAGTTTAGTTCCGCTAGTTTTAGTTTGTATGCATTTCATGTTTAAATAAGAGGACTTGAAACACAATTAACATTTTTTTCAAACAAATTAAACTTTTATGGGGTTTCCTGTCATATATGGCCTTACAAACCAACCATTCATGAATATCAAAATGTTATTCTTTTACAAAATTAAAATACAAAACAGTGGATAAAGTGAACTGTAAAAATAAAATGTCTCAAACTTACCTACTTAAATCCAGTTTTTTGTTTCATTAACATTTTGTCTCCTGCAGCTAATATGTGATTAAATATCCTTATGTTGAATTATCTTTCTGCAAGTTATTGCAGTACTAATAACATTCTGGGAAAGGGATATAGGACATTTCTAAAGCATATTAAGCTGTCACCTCCTTAATATAAAAGATTGAATATACAGAAAATGTTTAAAAGGCTATTCTAAGTGGTGGATTTTACTTAATTTCCTTTTTGGTTGAAAAATCTTGGCATTTGTCAGATAGAAAAAATACAACCTGATTCATAAGTTGAAAAGTTCCATTATATTTTTATATTAATATATAGACCAGCCATTTCCCCACCGCTGTCGTGCCCTTATAACGAAAGCGACCATAAAAAGCCATGTGAAGTTTTCACAGAGAAACAAAGTCTTGTTGCCAGGTGCCACGGCACACTTTCAGCTTTGAGAAACGTCAGAAGTATTGCAACGAGAAAATCTCACGATTAACTGCGAGACTTTGAATCTCCAAAAATTTTGTCCGGACCAAAGAGCGACATCCGATCAAGGGGGGATGGCCACCCGGAGATGCTCGGGTCAAGGTAAAAACTAAACCCCTGATTTGTCCCGACTTTTAGAATGCTGCACAATAAATAGGACGATCGTCGGTCTGACGGGAGGCTGAGTTTTGTCGGCGGGCAGTCTCGTTTGTTCTGGACCGAAAACATCACTCTGACAGCCTCAGACGCGCAGATTCACTCCTGTTTAGGCTGGGAGGATGTTTTGCAGGCGCACAAGTGCAAATGAGCGTTGACGGAGACGGCGCTGTTTATGCACGGAGTTTTTTTTTTTTGTTGTTGTTTTGCGGACTGAGCCGCCGTGTTCTGGATGGCACCACGATGCCATGATAGGGGCGTAATCTCCTGCGCACTTTCTAAAAAATAATATCACGCTCAGTGATGCGCTGGAGGTGAGGCTGCTGATGCAGAGGCAGGCTGAGGATGCGGGGGTAGACACACTGCATGCGATCTGCATGCCTGTCAGGCTTCTTGTTTTTAATCGAAGGCGCTCTAATAAAGCGCTGTCAGGGTGACACATCCACGAGGAGACGGAACAGGTTGCCAAATGTGTATCATGACAGGAACATGACTGGAAACCCCAAATTCCCAAAGCTTTGCGGAGTGAATAACATCTCACAGAACTACAACGATGTATTCATTTCTCAACATAAAATATGCACACAAATTGGAGGGATGATATAAAATGCTTTTTGGCTGTTTTTTGGCGTCTCTTACTAATCCAAAAATCTAATAGCTTTACATGAAAAGTCATTTTCATCGTGCTTGGATGCATTTTTTTTTTATCATGTGTTTAAAATGAATCCAGATGCCAATGTGGTGATAAAGCAACCTTGATCATGGAACAAGTTGGGGTACCAAGAAGAGTCTATTTTTATATCCCAAATGTACACAAAACCTGTAGTTTCTGCGTTTTTTTTCTTTTTATGAGGCATGAAAGGTTTAATATTAAAATCCTGACCAGTGTTTGTTAATTATTTTTATTTCCTAATTTATATAAAGATCATCCTCGGATTATCTTCAGTGCCACAGTGACGTCAACATTAAATCTATTTTGAATCCCCTAAGAACACTTAAATTAGCTCCAGTATTTTTATTTATTTATTTTTTGCATTGTGTTATGAAGGTGTGCAAATGGAAATGAGAGCATGATCTCAGTTTATTCACATCTGAGTGACAGACCGCAGCAACAGGTGGGGCTGGGGGAGCTTGGTACAAGAGAAAACTGAACTATCTTGCTTATTATTAGACCAACTTTTAGCTGCAACCATGATTTTTTTTTAAACAGGACTTGGTGTGGTCTGAAGGTACAGAAAACTCACTGAGGGCAAGTGAGTTTTAGAGAGTCACTGATCAGGCATTTCCTTTTGATTTCCACTCAGTTTTTGTTGAAATCTGATTTATTTATTCTGACTAGGACCAATTTAGATTTTTACTAGTGCTTCTTTCTAAGGACTGTATCAACTAAGGAATGCCATTAATGCATGAAAGGATATGTCCCTAATCTTTATCTGATTTATAGTATTTGTGTATAAATACATCAGAGTACATATTGTTTGTTGATGATCTTATAGAAAGAAAAACTGGCAGGAATTATATTTTAACAAATTTAACGAAAAGTGAAGAGATAAAAGAAAACCATTTTCCGCTTATGGACATCATCCATTTCTGATTTCTAGCTGATTGATCCGTCCATCTCTGCTGGATGTAACATTTGGTTGTTGTCAGACTTAAAAACTTATTTCTTTCCTAGCCAAAGGTCACCTTAGTCGCGTCCTTGCCTGTAGCGATGGATGTGCACTCAGCTGCAACAAAAGATCCAGTTGCAAAATTCATTAAGCCTCATTTTAATCCTTTATGATAATAATGATATAACTTAATGATGCTTTTCCATAACCCAGAGGTATTTTTCTTGGCCTGGTGAAAACTAAACACAGTAATATTTCTGAAGCATTTCATTGTCAGTTCTCCTTTTGTTTTCTAACAACCCAATTCTAAGAACTTGTCAATACTATTTTATAAGAAACTGATGCTTCCTCTTTTTCTGTAAATGTCTTTGCCAGCTACAAAGCAAATTAGTTGAGGAAAAAAAATATTAAGACTGTGCTGAAGGTTCTGTCTTAATACCTTAATGCTATTTCCTGCGCGACCTTATCACCTTTGTGTTAATAGATGTTACAAAGAAGTAGCATGCAAGGGACAGATTGCTTTTCTGGTTTCTATTATTGTACCGTCTCTTGAGATGACGTGCATATATCTGGTGCCTGCTTAGCAGATCGCAAAGCGCAGGGCAGGTTTCAGCGTGAAAGATAAATGCTGTGAAGGCGCCGAGAAGGAGCTTGCCTGGGTTAAACGCGATACAGAGCGGAGCAGGGTGAGCTGCAACACACTAATTGTGCTTAAAATTGGGTCTTTTGGTGCACAGTGGGGAATGGGATTTCTCCAAGCTCCCCACTGAAACATCCAAGGATAAGAAAGTTGTCAGATTTGTAGGTCAGGCTGCTGAGGGTTGTCATTAGGCAGACCCGCTCTTGAGGTCCGCGTGGCTATATTTGATGTTGGTTGTCGAGTTTTAATTGTTCTCACCCTTACAGCCTGCTTCCCTTTTTCAACTGTCACATCATCAAATAGCATTCAGAGTAGGGTTTTTATAAATATCCCCGTTTTGAATCTGCATTTCACTCTGAGTCAACACAAACTTTTTCTTTCACCCCTCAAAAGCATGTTCAGTTTATTCAATGTGCAGGGTGATGCTAAATCTTAATTGATTTTTACAATGTTGGAGGGAGCTGCATGAGTGTATCTTAGTCCCAGCTGGGGCTTATCCAGGCTTGACCCGGTTTCGGTGTTCTGCATCGGTGTAGTTCCTCTGGGACACGTCCCCTCCTCATCGCGATGAAGGTGGGAGAAGGCCACTGCTCACCCACGCTGACCCGGCAGAGCTCGGGGCGAACGTCACCTCCTGGAAGAACCTGCACCGTGTTACAAATTCTCCCCTCTGCCTCATTGTAGGTCACTTGGTCTTTCTCCTTCCTCCATTTTGGAAATGGCTTCCGGGTATATTATGTCCTACAAAAAAAATAATTATGTTATCTCCCTAATTCCCAATTATTATGCACAGGCTTATTTAAGAAAAAGGATTAGGCTTCCCCCCCTGTCTTTTTCGGCATCAGCAGCAGCAGCAGCAGAACTGAAAGAATCTGAACGTGACACTCGTCTGCTCCTCTGCAGAAAGGGGTCCTACACTTGGATGAACTGGGGGAGGAGAGAGCGCTGCGAGGCTGTCATGTAAGCTGTCTCCTCTGGGGGCCTCCTCTCGGTTCGCGGCTGCTTCCTGCCTCAGGTAGAAGCCTCAGTGGCAGCAGTGTTTCTGCTGCCGGGAGCTTCAGGGCTGCTCTCTCTCTTCTCTCTGTTCCCTCCAGCTGAGCAGGCAAAACATCCTCTGCTCCAAGCACGAAAATGGAGAAGGTAAGAGACGTGTCTCTGGCATTGATTCCTTTAAATATTGAACTTTTTGTTCTTTTCTGACACGGCAGAAGCTTGTTTTAGTTTGTGCAGCAGTTTCTGAATTTGCACTTGGGGGGGTTGGGGGGGGTTTGGGGGGTATTTTCTGTGTAAAGCTGAGGCATTGACGGGGTTTTTCTTTGCTCTTTTCTCACCTCACAAGTCGTTGCAGATGTTAGAAAAACTCCTGACATCTGTTTGGTTGAGATTAGATGCAGTTCAAATGCTGATTTTCATTTCAAATCTGCAGTTTTTGACTGTTTCCAAAGGGAAATATCATTTCTCAAATAAAGGATACTTGAGATTAACATGAGCTTTGAATATTTTAAAAGTGAGACACTTGAAATCCATTCTTTATTTTAGTATCTAACATCTGTAAAGGGTGTTACATTTAAAATTGAATCAGTATAATGATATTCTTGCACAGGTTTAGTTTTTTAAATGCAAAATCAAATCAAATCGTTGAAGTTCAATTTAACGGTCAGCAGCACGGATATATTTTCTCATATTGCAGCCATGTGCTCTCATCACCCAGTTTTGGGTTTTACCAGGTCTAAAATAAATGTGTTTATTTTAGACCTGGTAGATTCTTTTTTTTCCCCCCTTTCTTTCAGATCTGCTCAGAGTGCACAGAGCCAACACTTGCACAGAGTCTCTGTACGCTGTGCAACAAGTGGCTGTGCTACCAGTGCACCGACGTGCACCAGCACCAGAGAGCCTCCTCCCAGTATGCTGATTCGTTCCAGCAGCAGCAGCAGCAGCAGCAGCAAAGGCCCAGTGCTGCACAGTGCCCTGACTTGCACCAAAGGAACTCCAGCACACTGCCTCCTACTGGACAAGGTGGATACTTGGTTGCTGTGCCCCTACATTTGCTGTTATTGTGCTCTGTTCGGTGTGTTTAATGTTTCAGCCTGAGCCTTTTGCACTGAATAATGTATGACGATGCCGACGGTTGCAGATCGTTCCTGGAGATCCGTGCACTTTGTTGTACCTATCTTTAACGCGTGGCCCAGATTCTGGAGGACTGGGATGATTTCATCTTTGCTAATTTTAGTGTCTCGCTATTTAAAGCCCGTTAAGTGTGCCCCAAGTGTGCCGCTTCGGTGCCAGCTTCATTTGCAGGTCGACATCTAATCATAACGAGCACGTCCTCTCGGCTTCTTAATTGTGACGAGAAAGTGTTTCTCTTTGGTTTGTGTATTTGTGAGAAAAGCCGTGTGAATGTGCTGACAGACAGGATGTGGTCAGTCAGATCAGGCTGATGCACCCGAGGTGATGCTCAGCTCTCTGCCACAGAGATCTGTGATGATCTGCAGGCTCAGGGGAGCAGGAGGAGGGTGGGGGGGGGGGGGGGGGGGGGGGGTGGGTGGGTGGGGGGGGCTGGCCCGCAGAGAGCAGCAGGACTTTGTTTTTACTGCCTTTGAGTTATTATTAGGCACAGGTTCTGTGGGACAAACGTCAAACGTTTATTCGCTGGCTTGTTTACACGTGTGTCAGACGTATTCTGGCATATTTCATATTTGATGGAACTTCAAAGGCCCTGTGCCGACACTTTGTTTATTTACCTCCTCTGTCGCTCAGCACAAGACCTAGTTTAACCTCAACTTCCTTTAGCTTCAACTTATTTACCACATCAGTATTATTGTTTCTGTATCATAGTGCAGATGCAGCTTTAACATAACAAGCAGTTTTATCTTGATACAGATTAAGTTGATAGCTACTTCAGGGCCCAGCTGCAGCACCATGTAGCAGTTTGTTATATTGTCCATGTTGTTTTTAGACAAATGTGCTATTTAATATGAACAAAGTGCAACACATGGCATAATCGATTGCCTTTCTAACCCAAAGGAAATAATCTCAGTCTTTTTCTGCAGGAGCTTTACCTGACCTCAACATTTATTTTTCATGTATTTTCAAATGTTGATTTTAATAATTAAAAAAAAAAATCTATGCAAATCAACTTGCTTCTATGGGTTATATGTAAATACTCCCATTGATAATTCATGAATTTTGCTTTAGTTTAGCTATCCACAACTGAGCCTGATTAATGCTAAAAAAAAAAAATAGGAATCATATTAATATAACCTGTTTGACAGAGTAAAGTGCACAAGTAGGCAAGTGAGAGTCATTATTCTCAAATGAGAGAACATAGAACAATCAGAAACATTCCCACCATTGACCAGGACAAAATTACCCAAATAGGTCCAACCATGAATTCTGCTCTGTAGTAAAATATGAAGGAGTATCTCTGACCACCAGTTTCTGACCATCAAGCTCAAACTCTGTTGGGTTACACAGCAGGAAAAATGATCCAAAGAACACCAGGAAGTCCAGCTCTGAATGGCACAAAACAAAATGTTTTTGAGAGGCCCAGTCAAAGTCCGAACTTAGATCCAATCAAGGTGAAGTCGTACATGCTCAGAAATGTTCAATCTGACGCCGTTAAAGCAATTATGCAAAAAAGAGCATTCCTCAACAGCAATGTTAAGGAGACATTGTCAGCTATCTTAAACACTTGATGGCAGTTTTTGCAACAGAGGGTAGAAGAACCAGCTGTAGATTTAGGGTGCAATTAATTTTCCTGATAGGGCCAAGTTCATTTGAATTGCCTTTTGTTTTTTAGACATTAATCAGTAAAACAACAATTAGAAATCAGTTTTCTGCATTTACATAGATTGACTATGATATTAAAGTATTTTTGATGACTGAAACAGGGGTGTCTAAGGTAGCCTGCAGGGAGTTTGAGGAATGATTGCCCTCAGTTAAATCCTGCCAGCAGTGGTGTGTGATGTAGATAATTTCAAGCTTTACTGTGTAATCTCGCTGTTTTGTAAGCAGTAGTTTAAAGAACAGATTAGCTGCCCGCAACAAAACAGGAAGTTAGGGATTCCAATCTGCTGTTACTTTGAGAAATGCGTTTTTTTTTTTTTCTTTCAATTTGGTGTTTGTCTTACAAATGTAATAGCAGCTTATGGGATTCAGGACATCATGAAAGGATTTTGGAACTAAAAAGACGTAATGAAATAAATATAAAAACTTAGGCAGAGTATTCATTTTGACTGAGTTAAAGTTGGGGATTAGAATAAACGCTCTGTTAGTTATTATGGGATGAATAATGTTCAGTCTGGACCTGCATTCCTGCATGATGTCTGAATGAGCAAAAGTAAAACAGCATCTGGAAAGAAATCTAAAGTGAATAACTGTGTGCATAAACCACACAGCATGGGCAGACATGCTGAGCAAAACTATCCGCAGGACAGCTTGAGGGCAGAGGTTAGTATCAGCGTTTATTGTGGTTGTGTGCAAGAATAATGTTTTAGTTTTAGTTAAGAGTTCACCAGCAGCTAACAGCTAACAATGCACCGATGATCTGAAACGATTTCCTCCTCATATCACCAGACTGGAAACAGGAAAAGATAACAAAGCCGTTGCCACCTACATTTTAAACCAAATTATTTGTTGTTTGATTCGTCGTTTTTAATCTGTAAAACTGTCTCGGTTTCACTTCCATCTGCAAGCAAGAACCAAAACATATCTAAGGCCCGTTGCTCTTTGTTCCAGACACTCAGTTTTAGCAATTTAGTTGCACATCTCTTTAGATTTTTTTAAAATAAAATGTGGTGCTTTTATTTTCTCTCTAATTGTGATAATCATAGATTGCAACCCACGTTGTCGCGTTTCTGACAGTTTAAAAGAAAATGTATAAATTCTTGCTTCCTACAATGATTCAGGTGATGTCTCTGCAGGCCTTCAGCTTCTGTTAACTATCAGCCAGGACTGTAATGATGAGGATGGTGGTGTGCTTTTGACATCTTCATCAATAAGTGAGCGTCTGTCTCCATTCTGAGGCGTTCTCTTGCTGCCAGGGCTTCTGGCAGCAGAAATGCTTCACACAGCTTAATTCATCAGCCTATTCCCCATCCTATGGCCATAAAGGGATTTTTCTAAACAAAATATGAGATTTTCTGGATCTTAATTTAACCTCAGACGAATTTAGTGTTAACCTCTGCACATTTATGCCTTTTTCAAGTCGACACCACTTTGACACAATGAATGTTTTTCTCGTTCTAATGAATTTCTAAGCAGCTTTTACAAAGATGCAGCGTGCTGAGCTGCTCTGTCTCTAGCTGTGTTGTGCTTGTTGACCGTTTCTGATTCTGATGTGTCCTCCCTGTCCCCTCCCTCTCCGTGCATTTCAGGCCCCGGCTCGTATCCTTGCTCCCTCCTCATGTGCCACACTCACCGACAGGAGCCCTTGGAACTTTTTTGTGAGTCATGTGACCTTTTGTGCTGCAGCAGCTGTCACCTGTCCTCCCACAAAAACCACAGGTTAGTCCTCAACCATGTAGCACAAGGGCACTGCAGAGAGAGAGAGAGAGAGAGAGAGAGAGGAGGGGGACGCAAAGGGGGCTAACCACAGGTTAAACACTTCCTCTGAGCTGAAGTGCTCGTTAACTGCCCTGTCATTTTTATCTCAGTGTATCTGCATACGCTACCCTTGGCGTTCGGACGCTCATTAGCTATTCATACCTGTTTGTTTTCTGTGACATTAAAGTGCATTTTCTATCTCCAAGGTCACATGCATAATAAGCCGTCCTCGGGGAAAATGCATGAAATTCTGGTTTTATTTTGGCCCCGCTGAGGAATAAATTAGAGAACCTTCTGTGTGCTGTGTGCATGTGATTAGGGTGGTGCAGATTGGCAAGGCTCTGCAGGATCAGCAGTGGCTGTTCGAAAACCTGATGGTGCAAGTGGAAGAGAGGCGGTCTTCAGTGGAAAACAGCGCAAAACAAATAGAAGACAGGTTAGTTTCAACCCACACGGCTTTAATTAGCAGACAATCAAAGGGCATGAATATTGCTGTAATAACAAATGAAATATTGCTTGAAATGTTAATTTTTTTTGGTGCATTTTAAAAGTAATGAAACCCCTATTTCCGTCTCTGTCTGTGCAGACTGCATGGAGTGAAGATCGCACACAGGAAGGCAGAGAACCAGATTAAAATGGCAAAGATGATTATGATGAACGAGCTTAACAAACGAGCCAACCTATTAATAGAGCAACTGGAGGTAATTACTTTCTCTTTCTTTCCCTCTTATCGTTCAGATAGCTGTGAGTGTTCATGCAGAGAATCCATAGCAGCCTTGATTTAATCAGCCCCCAAAACAGATCCAACAGGAGCCCATTAGAGCCCGCCGGTGTTCCCAAAACCGACGTCTCGGGCCGGTAACAGCAAAAGCATCTGTTGATTACAGACCACGGTGCCGGCACAACAAAGCTATCTTCCAGTAAATACTCATAACTTTTCCTTTTATTTTGTTTGCGCAGAAGATTTCGGAGGAGTTCCAGCAGCGTCTGGAGGACCAGCTGCAGGGGGCAATAGAGATCTGCGGCCAGCTGGACCACATTCAGAAGTTCATCACCTGGGCCACAACCCATCACTGCAGAGGCCCCGTGCTCTTCAGCAGGGCTCTGGTGAGACAATAAGCAGATGTCCAGAGTCCCACTGTAACACACACACACGCACGCACGCACGCACGCACGCACCCACGCACGCACGCACGCACGCACACACGTGAAATGCTAAAGTTTGCAAACAAAACAACGAGAAAGGGAAGAAGAAACTCCTCTGCCACGTCTTTATGCCTGTGACAGTAATGGCAGATCACCCTGTGGGAACATTTGTAGTTCACAGTGTCCTTTGAGTGTACGAAGAGTCTGCGTGACATTAAGCTGAAGGAAAGTTGACTAAGTTCAGCTCAAGTCCAGAACCTCCAAATAGCATGTGTTAGCTGGAGTAAAAAGTCTGAAGGATGCAGACGTTACCATTAATCTGGCATGTCTGAAAATAGACCAGATGCTGTATATTCACATTGAAAATATCACAATATTAACAATAAATACGTTGGACCTGTCCACGAGGTTTCCTGCCTCTTATTCAGTGACTTCTGGAGACATACACCAGCTCCCCCCTACAAGATTAAGCGGGTGTAAACAATGGATGGGTGGATGAAATAAACAAGATCGCTGACTCATCTATGCGTGTGATGAATCTATGCATGCATGCATGAGTTCCGCTTTTGAACTAAATTACTAAAATAAATAAACTTTTAATCATCTTCAAAGAAGCATGTGTATGTTCAGATGTTTTTGTAGAAATCATGTTTGTCTTTCAGATTTCTCTCCAGATGCAGCAGCTGCTGGAGTCGTCTCTCCACACAGACTCCTGGAGTCCTGTCAAGCTCAAGTTTAACTGGGATGCCAGTTACTGGACAAAGCAGATTTCCTCTTTCGGTAAACCCTGCTGTATAAAGGCGGTGAAGAATCTGCACTAAAATGTTAAAGCTTTTTCAAGAAAGATATAATTTAATATCGAAATAACCTGTTTTTTTTTGTTTGTTTGTTTTTTCAGGTCAGCTAATTGTCGATGGAGGAAATTGTGCTTATCCTTCAGGATTGGCCTGTTCCAGTATTTTGAGGCCCCAACCCGTCGCCTGCTTGGCTCTGCCCGCCATGTTTCACCGAGGCCGAGAGCCAGGCTGTGGCTACCAGACCTGCTGTGAGCCTCAGATATGTTGCCTGCATGGCATGCCCCCTCAGCAGGAGCTGGCCACTCTGGACAAAAGCCAGATGGAGAGCACTCTGTTTAACTCCAGCTGTGCTCAGCCCGCTCACTTCCCTGCTTCACTGCACCAGAGTCAGCAGCTTCAGAGGTTTTGGGAGACGGAGAGCTCCCTTCAGTGCCCTCCTCCTACATCTCCTCTCCCAGCACCCATCCAGCTCGGCTGCAGCCAAGGATCCGCATCCCAAGATGCTCAGCCTTTAACATACGTCTCCTGTCACCAGCGTCAGAGGGAAATCGCTCCAGACAGCCAGACTCACCTCAGTGCCGACCGTGGTGGTCTGGGTCAGTGTAAGGCGAAGTTGTCTACGAGCCCGGCTCTGCAGCAAGAGGTCAGCCACAATGTGAGGGACAAAGATGAGGAGAGGTGTAGAGGGGAGACCCGTGGACAGTCGGCAGAAGATGAAAGCAGAGAGCTGGATGAGGATCTGGAGGCAGGCAGAGGGGAGCAGGGTCTGGTCCAGCTTCAGGCGTGTTTAGCTGCTGACCAGCAGAGGACCAGACCAGCTCTCAACCTCAGAATGGATAGAAATGGCAAGGTGAGAGACTTTATTGTATTAGGCCTTACATGCAAGAATTTACAATAATACAAATATATGCACTTGCTTTACAGTGTATGAACTACACAGCAGCTTAAGCAAATTAAGAGTAAAGTGACTATAAGGGTTAGCACAGTTGTTTAAATGTAACTATTTGGAGTCAGAAAGTTACACAAAGGTAATTGGTAACCACAAGCATCATTGCAATTAAAAAGTGCAGAATTATTGTGAATTTAAAGAAAACGGGTACACAGTTTTCAAACTTTTTTTTTTTTATGTATCAAAGTCCTTCCACTTCACAGTTTTGCAGTAGTTTGTGTTGATCTATGACATACAATCCAAAAATAATAAGGGGATGTTTTTGGGTGTCTTACAAATGAGGAAATGTTCAAGAGATTAGGGGATTTTTTCAAAGCACCATGACAACCAGCAAGCCAGCTCTTTCATAGCCCAATAAATAGGTAAGGGGGAAATGAGCTCATCCAGTGCTGCATCTTACAGCACCACTAGCAATATTTCAGACCAGTAACTGTAAAATCGGTTCCAAAAGTTTTAGTTTTCATTAAATTAACTGACTTAGTAGCACTAACATGTGCAGTTTCAACTTAATTCAATAAATTTAAATGTACTGTAATTACTCAAGCAGCACTGAAAACACATTTCTTTAATTAGAATGTGCAAAAATCTACTTATAAAAACACTGTTATTTATAACAGTCAGGCAGAATGGAGAGGTCATGAAAACGAACAAACAACTCGCTCTTGCTGCGTTGTCCAGAATCTCTATATGTGTGGCTGTTTAACTGGAAAGTACAGGAAAGGAATGACAATAATTTATATACTGAACCAACATCCACTTAAAGTGAAGCAGCTAATAACAATCTGCAAAGCATCATGGGAACAGAGACAGTGGAGAAGAGTGGCAGGAAATGGTAGTTGAGATGATCTCTGGAAAACTGCATCCAAACTGGAATTGGGATTTCGACAATGAAAATAGAAAATAATGAGTTTTCACAGAATTAATTAGGTTTAAAATATTTTTCAAATTATAAATGTACATTACAAAAAAATAACAAACCCAGTGGAAATGTGCTGCTCTGAAAATATTAAAACATATTTGAAAGTTGGCACATTCTTGATGACCTGACTGCATGGAACTCTGAAGTCTACTTTTTTTTTTTATCTTAAACACATTAAAACCAATTTTTGTGACAAAGCAAACATTTGTTTCAAGAAGTGAAAAAAATCTGCATTAACCTTGTCCACTTCCTGCCACTGGTGGTGCAATGCATTCTGGGATATCTAGCTGGCCAATCCCTTCTGTCATACAATGTCCCCTTCCACATACTTCAAATTAACCAAATCAATTTTTAAAATGTTTTTTCCTCAAAGGGCTCTCAACTTGTTTAAATTGAGTGCTAATTATAAGTACTTGAAAAAGTAATTTAAATCTATTTACTTTGTTCAGTACATTAAATTCAATATTTTAGCTTCACAATACACCCATAGGTCTGAAGTCAGGTCATATCCACTCATCTTTTTTTTAAATTTTTTTATTAAACTTAAATTCAATCTTACATTTTACAGCCCACATGTTAAATACGTCCTAAAATATTTACCTATTTCTGGTTGGAAATGACTTCATAAGGTATAGGTGCATATGCTTTCAAGTTTGTGAAGATATCAAAGCAAAGTGAGTGGCGGGACTTTTTTGTGTGTTTGTGCTCGTCTGTCTTCTCATTTTTGTTTCACACGTGGTTCTGGCTAGGCGACACAAGCTCAAAATAAATCCATTTGGGCTCAGTCTCAGATCACAACATGGTAAGCCACACAAAGCCGTTTAGACACACTTTTCGAAAGTCACCACTGATCGGTCAAGTCGAGCCCATTTCCTGTAAGAGCAGAGTTGTGCAGCGGTTATGCAGACAACCAAAGAAACAATAAAGCACAATAAAGAAAGCATTGCTATCAATAGTTAAAGGCAGCAAGACAATTTGTTAAATACTGAAAAAAGTTTAAATGAAGTTGTGATGAGTATGAGGCAGCTTTCAGCTTCAGATATGAGTAGTTTATGACCAAAGCTCTCACTTTAAACCAGAGGACTTGTGAAAGTTGACAGCTTGCTTATTAACAGATGGCACACCATAAAGCTGCTCTTGCTTTTCATGAAGAAATGATGAGAAAACAAAGAGCCGCTCTGACAATTAAAATAACGCATTCCTAAAATTGCAGTAGTGCACTCATCACCATCAAGCTCACGCTTAATGCCAGAAGTGTTAGCAGCCGCATAATCACCTCTCTCTTTGAGATAGATGGTTATGAGCACAAAGACACGTGTTATTTTTACGTTTTTCGACTCACTGCATCTGAAAATGATATAAAACCACTTGGGCTCACTCATTTATGTACTTAACCTATCAGTAATGAGCCACTGTGGGAATAGTGGGAGCTGCCAGTTTGATTTTAGCCCCGGTTTGTACAAAGATGAATTCCTGCTTCCCCAGCTTCCAAAGAGAGGGATTAGAGTTTTTTTTTTCCCTCCACAGTCTAAATCCTGCATCCTGCTCCCAGGGGGTGGAGATCAGGTAAGTGTTTTAATCGCGTGATACTTGGGAGCGTGTGCTCAGTTTAAGTCTGGCCTGAATATGTATGATGGTGTACTAAAAAAAAAAAGGGAAAAAAAAAAACTGGTGCTAAACGATTCGCCGGCTTTCCTCCTCGCACTTTCCGAGACACAGCTGAGGGGTTTAAGGAAAATCTGTGCATTTGTTAAACTGAAATGTAAGACAGAGGGGTAATAAGTGCTCAGCAGGTCTAGTTTAATCAAAGAGCAGCACTAAACCTGCTGCTGAATTTGCATTTGATAATTGGTGTGGCAGCCAAACCTTTCATTCCCTGTATTATAACACTAATTCATGCAGCGTGTTTGTAAAGACCGAGTTTTTTTTTTGCCCCCCCCCCCCCCCTCCCACCAAATAGATTTTCAGCTGTGTTTTATTCATTTGTGCACAACACACATCCCACTCCTTTCCCTTTCAGCTGCTAATGGTGTGAACAGGTGCATCTCTGTTTTTGATGTAACTTGAAATTCTATTCTCTCACTGTTTCCAGCAGAGGTCCACGTCCCTGGAGGTGTCTGCCAGAGCCCACGAGCGCGCATCTGATGTGCAGAGCAGCAGGCTCAGCCCCAGCTTGGTGTGTACGATGAGGAAGCGTCGCTCCCGGAGCATCCCGTCAGAGCTGGTGGCCCCGCCCTCCAGCCCTTACACTGAAAGGTCTGCTGCAGGACGCACAAACAGCCAGGAGGCAGGAGCTGCGAAGAAGGTGACTCCTGTATGAGGATCTTTCAGTGTCTGCTTTAACTTTTGCAGAGAAGCAGTCCTCCTGCACAGTTACTCAGCAATGCATGAATCATTAACATAGAGCAAGCTTAGTTTCCCACCATCACACCTCAATATGTATAGACTGTTATGTGTATTCTATCAAGGAATCAGTCTTCCCTTTTTAATATAATAGGCAACAGATATTATAACAGCAAACATGCACAGCACAAGAAGTGACTGCATGACAAATGTGCAGAGAGCCTGCTAATCTTTCTGTGCAAGACCTATTCGGCCTGAGATTATGAAACTCAGTTCTGTGGTCTGGTGAGTAATGTGATCTGCAGTCCACACTAACCTAAAGTTAGACCTAAAGTTAGTGAGAAAGATGAGAGAATTGTTAAACAAGAGTCTCAATTCATGTTAAGACAGCAAAAAAAAAAAAAAAAAATCGTATTTCATTTTTTTTCAGTCAAAACTGCACACAGAAAGTGCATAAGATCGTTTATATTGTTTAGCTACAAATGACCTCTACTGAAAGAAGGATGAATTTGACATCCTTCAATTTGACACTCATAAAGTGTCCCATGTGGACACTTTATGAGTGTCCACATTGGATTTATAACTCTAATAATGTAAGTAATTATTTAAAAATGGTGTACAACATTGATCAGTAGGAAATAACTTAGTTGTTATTAATTTATTAAGGTCTGAGTTTATATCTTGAGGGAAGGTGAGAGTTGAAGTGTGAGAGGTTAACTCCAGATCAATTTCTATTTTTGTTGCTTCTAAAACAAGTAACTTCTGGAAAGATGTTGAAGCTACTGTTGAGGTTCATATTTATATGTTGCAAAGAGGGTACTTACTTGGCATTTTTTTTTTTTTTTTACTTTTTAAAAAAAAAAATATTCTACTTTAGTGTACAGATTTTTCACACTTTCTTTTGCTTACTTATAAGGTATGGCCAGATTTTTCCAGTGATTTAGTTTTATTTTGAGTCAGATCTAGCATCACTCCGCTTGGTTAAGCAATAGCACTGTACAAGATTAATTTGAGCTTTGAATCAGAACTGTATCAAGAAGAAATAAATGATCTGCTGACATCAACTCGTCTCACAGCTACAGACTGCTGCAAACAAACTGCTGATGCTTCGTTCTTGTTTCGCTTCTCCTGCTAAAACATGCTTCATCTCGCATACGTGCTGAAAGCATGGCCTATTATGAGCCTGAGCAAACAGGATATGTAAAGCTGTCTGCAATACAGGAGCAAACGTGGGACCTCTGGTCAGATTTCTGGTTGTTATTCTGTTTTTGCAGCATCTGCAATTTCGACTTCAGTTAAAATGTTTGCCTCTGAATGAAGCTGGTACTAAGTGTACTAAAATGGTGAGAGCACAATAAACGACTCGGCTTAGACTGCAGAGCGCATCGTCTGCTGGAGGCAGCGACGTATTGTAGGAAGCTCTTGGTTGACAGCTGTGGTGTGTGTGTCGTGTTTGAAACATTTTACTTAGTGAGTGTACTGTAACTTTATCGCATCTAGGTTTAGGAATCAAAACTTAACTAAGTTCTATTGGCCTAAAAATGACAGAAAAAAACAAAACAAAACAAAACTTAGATGTTATTGACTGGGTCCTGAACTTTAACTACCACATAAAGTATATAAATAAGTATGTCTACTGTCACGTTCGAAACATTGCCAGATTAAAACGGTTCTTATTAAAACATAATACAGAAAAAACTAGAATGGCATCCAGAATGATGCTTCTAGTTTTCCATCAGGAAAACATATTCTATCACCCCAGTCCTTAAATGACTGCATGAGCGGCTGCTTTAATTCTTAGTTTTCCTGGAAAACACTGTGAATTATTTTATGCATGGTGTATTAATCCAGCTGACTTAGAATCTATTGTGATGTGACTTAGATTTAGAAAGCAGGTTTTCAGTCAGAGAAGCTTGTAACTCATTGTAAAAACCTCCTTGTTTCGTTTTCAGTATGACATGATAGAGCTAAAACAAAGGAGAGCTTCAGATGGAGGACTTTGTGTCGTCAACGAAACCGACTCAATCCAATCCAAAGGATTGTCTCCTTCACCTCCCTATAAGACAGAACCAGGTGCTGAATTTACTTCTGTTACTTTCATGGAGTTTAAATGAATTATTTAATTTGTAAAAACTGAATGCCGTCTACTCTCTTCAGATCACCCAACTGCTTTTGTGTATGAAGAGGTTGAATACAGAGCCAAGGAGAAGCACAGACTGCAACGAAACAGCATCACCAAGTGAGTAGTGTCTTCCGTCAAAAATGACTTCAGATTTCCAGCACAATTTCATGACAACAAAGTTTTGCTTTTTTTTTTTGTTTTTTTTAATCATCCATCCTCTGCTCCCCTGTGAAGTAATGGAGAAGCTCTGAAAGACTCGGGGAGATCCAGGGTTCCAGTGGTTTGCTTAGAGCGCCTCAAAATCCTCGTGTCTCAGCTGCCGCCACACGGACGAAGACAAAGTGACCCTCTGCCTGCCAGCGAGACAGAGAAGAGCGAAGGCCTCGCCCAGCACAGCACATGGCACACAGTAATGCAACACGTACGACAAACATTTTTTTCATCCCAAACAGACGGCTACAAATTCATATTTTTAAAATCGTATCAGAATAAAACTTCCGATCACAAATGTTTGCATGACTTTTGTGATATTCGCAGCACAAAGAGTGAGGTTTCGCATTGAATGCAAAAAAAAAAAAAAAAAGTTAGCTTACTTTTCGTCTGGGGGGGGGGCGATAATTTTTATTTTTTTTTTCTGTTTATGGCAATGATTTGAATCTAAAGAACAATGTGCAGCTTAAAACATCAAATCAGAGAAGTAAAATGTATTGGTGTCATCTGTGTCTGAACAATTTACCGCTTTGACTTTTGGAGTTTGTTAATGCGTTCATATTAACCTCACAAGTAATGAACACAAGTCTAAGTATGACTGAAGGTATTTGCATCACAGATTGAGAGATTGCAGTTACTTAAGAATTATCCCAATACCAATAATTTACCAAACTAATCCAAACCTATTGATATATGTACTATTGTTAGACTTAGGTTCTAGATTAGATTAAAAACAGATATTTTCAGTTTTGAACCAGATGAGGTTTTGTTGTTTTTCGTGGTTTTCAAGCTGTTTTTGCAAACAAAGCCATAGAGCTTCTGGTAACTGCTGCTCTGTCGTTGTTGTAATTGCTTTATTCATGCTTTACTTGTTCAGGTGTTATACAATGAGCTATTGTATAACACCTGAGCTATAAAAGCTACATGTGAGCTTTGGAAAATTCTAATAAAGCCTTTCTTTTTTAACAACAGGGGACAGCCAGGGGGTCAGACACCAGAAGGACCACCCGCTCACTCACAGAGCGATCCACTCGCAGTCCGTCTGCCGCCTACGCTGACACCTGTGACTTTAGCAGGAGACTCAGCTCCCACACAGCTTCCACACAGCTTCCTACTGACTCCAAATACGTGCCAGAAAGTTACTTTGATTTGGACACCGACTCTGATCCCAGGTCAGTTTCGGAGGATGTCACCTGTTATCCGACTGACCCAGGTCCGCCGCTAAACTCTGATGGATCGCTGGATTCTGATCCAAATGCAGTATCGTCTTCCGAGGCTGAGTTTGAACTTGCTGCTGCAAGGCAGTCAGCAGGTTCAGGTGAGGTGAGACAGAATGTGGATTCAGAACCGAGCCTTGAGTACGAGGCGGAGCCAGACACGGATGCAGGAGCGGGATCAGAGGACGGTCGGGGGTTGGATGCTGATACAGAATCGGGGGATCCCGAAACCGAGTCTGACACCCAGCCTGAATATGATCCCAGCTTTCAGGCTGAAACCGACTCCGACGCTGTATCCGGTCAGCCTCCAGACTTTCAGGGCTCCGGGGAGTCCGATCTCGACTTGGAGTCTGAACCCGAACCGACAACTGACGACCCGCAGCCGCTGCGCTCTGACCTGGAGGAGGAGCCGCAGATTGGCCATGGTCCGAGGCAGCTTTTGATCGCAAACCATGTAGCTCAGAGGGACGAAGAGGACATTCACACAGAGCAGGACGTGGATGAGATGGAGAGTGAGGACTTCTGCGCAGTCTGCCTGATTGGAGGGGAGCTGCTGTGCTGTGACCGCTGTCCAAAGGTCTTCCACTTATCATGCCATGTGCCGCCTCTTCTGAGCTTCCCCACGTAAGCTGCTTCTGTGTGCACTCAACAGCTCTCAAGTCCTCTTTCATTTTTTTTTTGTATTTTGTAGCAGACCTGAGGTAATATTAACCTGTGCTTTACCGTGTTCAGAGGAGACTGGGTGTGCAGCGTCTGCAGAGATGTTTTACAGCCTGAAGTTGAATATGACTGTGAGAATGAGAGATCATCTGCAGCGAACACTGCGCACGGACTCTCTGCCTGCGATCAGAGAGTACGATTTTCTCCCAGCTACACGATTCAGATCAATAATTCACAGTTTCTGTCTTGTTTATGGATTTTTTTTCTCTTTTAATGTCTAACATATTTAATGTTTTGTTTGCCTGCAGAAATGTGAGCGACTGGCTCTTCTGATTCTCAGCAACATCTTGAGTGCTCCTTTCCACGAGCCCGTCAGTCCACTTGTAAGTGATCATCATGTTCCTACAAACCCAGTTACAATGAAGCACATGTTATTCGTCTTTCATCATAGTTGTAGGCACACGGATATGCCCTCAGGAGGTTACATCGGGGCTCCGGATGCACAGACACGCTTTGATTCCAGCTGTTTTTGATTCTTGGAGGTCCCCTCCCTCCCCTCCACCCCTCATGGATTTCTTTTTTACAAAAACAAAACAGAACCAGGGACATTAAATGGAGCTGTGCTAGTTTTGCTTTCTTTTTATTCTTACCAACCCCCTGCTTCCTGTGCTAAATATTAGGAGGGATGATTTGCTTTACATTTTGGCAAGTATGTTTCAATAGACTGAAGCAGATTTTTAACACAATACGACAGATCTCAATACAAGTCAAAAAGTTGTTTCGTTTTTGAGTTTACCCCAGAGGTGCTCAAAAGTTTTGTCATGTGGGCCAACTTTGTCAAGTTGGAAGTATGAGTGTCATTAAAGTCTGTTTTTTTTTTTTTTTTTTTTTTTTTTTTTTTTTAAAATCACAAAAAAAAAATTTAATTTTTTTTTATTTTTTTTCCCCTTTTCTTTTAAATAAGCTAAAAATGCAACGATTTCATAAAATGGACAAACTGATTGTTTAATGGCTGACATTTCTATTGATCAGAA